CACCTCAAATATAGCAGCCAGCGGGAATCGAGGCAGGCGACCTACTGTGTAACAGACCGTCGCTTCAGCCGCTACCACACTTCATGTAAGGTATGTAGGAGAAAGCAAATACAAGTCCTTTATTTTCGTGCGCCACTTCACTTTTGCCAGCCAATTTGGCCCACGATGTCCACCGCCACCTTCGACATCTACTTGTACTGTGCTGGAACAGTTTCGCGTCATGCAGCTGCCAGCGACTTGCACTGCCATCCACTTGCAGCTGCACCCCAGCATTACACACTTCTAATGTGGAGAGCATTTCTATCCCCGCTAAGATAACACGCCCGAAATACACAGGATTGTACGAAATGTAGCACTGAGCTGCCAGGATACTGTCAAATATAGCACTGACATTTCAGGATACCTCACCCTGTGCAGCCCTGACAATTTAGGGCAAATTCTGATTTCCTAAAAACTGACCTGAGGCCTCAGTGTACCTCCAAACGAATCTGAGGGCCTGGCACCCACACCTTCGTTTCCCCACAATTTCCATTTTTGGAGGGGGTAAACGTCTCTCAGCGTTCAGGCACCGCCGCTCGAAGTGCTCTCTCGGAAGCACACACGGCCACGACTGAGGCTCTCGCTGAGCTTGCCCGACACCCCCGCCATGGCCGAACTCAATCTCGCGACGTTGACGCATGAGCAGCTCGACCAGCTCATACACCAACTCGAGGATTCGGCGCTCGAAATCGTGACACTCACGGCGGAACGTGACTCCGCCCGCCAGCAATCAACGGTGAACGCAAGTACAGTGATCAAAACCTAGCAAGTGTAAGCATGCAGATATATGTATATAGATCACAGTACAAGCAAAGTCAAGAAGTGAGCAAGTGAGGCCAAGTAGGCACAAGGCCTAAAACAGTACAGAAACGCTGATGATCACAAGGCTGAAGTGCCTTGGTGAAGATATCAGCAGTGTTGGCCTGAGAGGCCACGTAAGCAAGACGAAGCTGACCACGCTGCTGCAACTCTCGAGCAAGGAAGTAACGCAGAGCGATGTGCTTCGTCATGTGCTCCAGTCTGTGCTCCTGACACAAGGCAATCATGGCCTTGTTGTCGACGTACAGAACTGGAGGAGAACGAGGCGGCTCTCCCAAGTCGGTCAGCAGGTAGGTGAGCCAGCGTAACTCCTGTGCAGCCATGGCACCTGCGTAGATCTCAACCTCACAACTGGAACTGAGAACAGAAGACGAGCGGGTAGACCGCCAAGAAACAGAGCCGGAGCCAAGGCTGAAAGTGTAACCCTGTGACGACCGTTGCGTAGCCAAGTCGTCAACCCAAGAGGCATCTGCGTGTCCAGTGAGGACAACTCGACCCTGTCCTCCAAGCACGAGCCCCATGCCCGACGTACTGCACAAGTAGCGCAACACCCTCTTAGCGGCCTTCCAGTGCTCTGGTCGGTGTCTCCCGGGCGCAACGTAGCGTGCCAGGATGCTAAGAGGGTAGGCAAGGTCAGGTCGAGTGCAGGTCATCAGGTACATGAGGCAGCCCACAAGCTCTGGATACGGGCCACTCGGCTCTACGGACTCGTCCGAAGGTGGAGCTGAGAGCGAGTGACCGGTAGGCAGAGGAGTGGACTATGGCGAGGAGTACTAGAAGTCGAAGCGCTGAAGGACATGCTGCACCATGTGTGACTAAGTCAAGGTAATGGTGCGCCGTGCTCTGTCCCGGGTGATCTGCAAGCCCAAGATAGCTGCGCAGCTCACCCAGGTCTGTGCACGTGTGTCTCTTCTGCAGCTCCGACTACACTAGGGCCAGTCCTCAGTGTCAGCAGTGGCAAAGACCAAGTCGTCGATGTACACGAGGATGTAGAACGGCGGCAGCGAAGTGTCGGTGCGTAGAAACAGCGACGGGTCAGCAGTAGAAGGAGCAAACCCAAGAGCCGCAAGCGTCGTCCTCAGTGTGTCGTGCCACTCGCGAGGCGCCTGGCGGAGACCGTAGACTGGCCGCCGGAGGCTCCACTGGGTACCTGCAGGAAACGACCCAGTGAAGTCAGGTGGGCGGCGCAGCCAGATCTCCTCGTGCAGGCTGCCCTGTAAGAAAGCTGTGCTGAAGTCAAGAGAGTGAAGCTCGTAGTCACGCTGAGCAGCGACGTGCAGATCAACATGGGCACGTGGGAGCCGGTCGAACGCCCGCTGGGAGTGAACATCATGAAGAACCGGTGGGTGTTGACGACGAAGTACCACATCGACGACACCGTCGAGCGAGAGAAGGCGAGGCTGGTCATGAAGGGCTTCACGCAGGTGTACGACGTCGACTATGACGAGACGTTCGCGCTGGTGGGCAGCTACGTCACGCTGAGGATCTTGTGGACACTGGAGCAGAGACTGAGGGTGCTGAGCCTGGGGGTGCTGGGACTGAGGGTACTGAGCCTGAGGGTGCTGGGACTAAGGGTACTGAGGCTGAGGGTGCTGAGACTGAGGGTACTGAGCCTGAGAGTGCTGGGACTGAGGGTACTGAGCCTGAGAGTGCTGAGACCGAGAGTTCTGACTCTGGGGGTGCTGCGAGTTCGGGTGCTGACTCTGGGGGTGCTGCGAGTCCTTCTGGTGTTGGTGTCGTCGGGGCTCCTACCGGAGGACCTGGAGCTACTGGTGCTGGAGGTACTGGAGGTGCTACTGGTGCTGGAGGTCGTGGAGCTGCTGGTGCAGGAGGTGCTGGAGGTGCTAGGGGTATTGGAGTTGCTGGTGCTGCTGGTGCTGGAGGTGCTAGAGGTGCTGGAGCTGCTGGTGCAGGAGGTCCTAGAGGTGCTGCTGGTGCTGGAGGTGCTGGTGGAGCTGCTGGTGCTGGAGGTCCTGGAGGTGCTGCTGGTGCTGGAGGTCGTGGAGCTGCTGGTGCTGGAGGTGCTGGAGGTACTACTGGTGCTCGAGGTGCTGGCGCTGTCGGAGCTCGTGGTGCTGGAGGTGCTGGTGCTACTGGTGCTGGAGGTGTTGCTGGGGGTACTGGAGGAGCTGCTCGTGCTGGAGGTACGGGAGCTACTGGTGCTCTTCGCCACCTTCTCAGTCTTCCGCCAGGTGCTACTGGCTTCTCTGTGGCAGGTACTACTCCTCCGTACTACACATGCACTGACCTGGGTGAAATGCGGAGCTATCTTGGCTTGCAGATCACCCGGGACAGAGCACGGCGCACCATCACCCTGACTCAGTCACACATGGTGCACCAGGTCCTTCAGCGCTTCCGCTTCAAGTACTCCTCGCCACAGCCCACTCCTCTGGCTACCGGCCACTCGCTCTCAGCTCCACCTTCGGACGAGTCCGTAGAGCCGAGTGGTCCGTACCCAGAGCTTGTGGGCTGCCTCATGTACCTGATGACGTGCACACGACCTGACCTCGCGTACCCTCTCAGCCTTCTGGCTCGCTACGTGGCACCCGGTAGACACCGAAAGGTGCACTTTGATGCTGCGAAGAGGGTACTGCGTTACTTGTGCAGCACATCGGGCATGGGGCTCGTGCTTGGAGGACGGGGTTCGGTGGTCCTCACAGGACTCTCTGACGCTTCTTGGGCCGACGACCAGGCGACTCAGCGTTCGTCACAGGGTTACACCTTCGGTCTTGGCTCTGGTTCTGTCTCGTGGAGGTCCACTCGTTCTTCTTCTGTGCTTGGTTCCAGCTGTGAGGCCGAGATCTAGGCTGGGGCCATGGCTGCACAGGAGCTCCGCTGGCTGACCTACCTGATGACCGACTTGGGGGAGCGGCCTCGTTCTCCTCTAGTTCTGTACGTCAACAACAAGGCAATGCTTGCCTTATGTCGCGAGCAGAGACTGGAGCACAGAACAAAGCACATTGCTCTGCGCTACTTCCTTGCGCGTGAGCTGCAGCAGCGTGGTCAGCTGCGTCTTGCTTTCGTGGCCTCTCGGGCCAACACTGCTGATGTCTTCACCAAGGCCCTTGGGGCTGGTGATCATCAGCGTTTCTGCACTGCTCTTGGGCTTGTGCCCACTCTGCCTCACCTGCTGGTTGCTTGACTTGCTCTTGTTGTACACTGCTATGTATCTTTATACCTGCATGTTTACTCTTGCTAGGTTGTGATCTGTGTACTGCCTTGCTATTATAAATCTGCATGTGAACTGGCCTTGTGGCCGCCTGCTTGTGCTTAGATTGTGTGGTGTCCTTGAGATCCACCCTGGGCTTTGCCTTGCTTGTTCTCTTGCTTGACTGGTCTTGTGACCACTGTTAGGTTTGGCTATCCCCTACTTCACCTATGGGGGTGTGTCAAAACATATCATTCTGTTCATTTCACTCTAGGTTGTGTAGGGGTCATTCCTTAGAGGGTACAACCCAATTCTCTCGATAGTCTTGTATCGCTCCCTCTTACCTAATCGACATTCTCACCTAGCTCCTAGTTTTAACACACGACTCCCGCCACTGTTCACGACGCGACCCAACCTCACGGTTCGGTTGGTAACCCACGCTCCGGACCTCCGCCTCGACAATTCCTAACCTCGGCGCTAGGCCCGCAGCGCACCCCAATTTCTCGTGTTACCGTTACCACACCAGCTTCGCTATATATTATTCGCTCATGCCTTCGCTCGATGTACCGTTTAGCTTCAATAAGTGCAATTCTCGCTCGCTCGCTCGATTGCACTCGTAACAGGCACATACATTCTTACTTGCTCAGGAAGAATAAGGAAATCACGGAAATCAAATGAAATTATTGGGAAGGACTTCTAAAACTGTTTCGAGTCGAAGCGTAGTGGACTGCGTCCTTCCAACACTAACGATTATTTGTTTCGCTATCGTGACTGGTGAACGTGGATCTTCTGCATTTGCCAGGAGATTCTTGATTGGTGTTCACCGCCATGTCAGCACGCACTGCTAATTTAGTGCATCGTTGCCATACCCTCTCAAACATTCGCACGAACGACCCACGCCCCTGTTGGTCTTCCTGCGACAGTGTGCAAGATTTCGAACCCCTGCATCCTTTCTCCACACCAGCCAGTCCACCTGCATCTTCTCACTGCAGCCATGGCCTCCGCTGTTGCCTCCATCGCCGCTGCCTCTTCTACCGCCATCACCTGCCAAGCCACTGCATCTAGCAGGAATGTGTCCGCGAGGAGCGGATTCATGGGAGCCACTCTCCGTGTCTCCCCAGCAGCCAGAGGTACATAGCTGTTTCCTAGGCACGACTTCGCTGTCCCTTCTTTCCTGTCTAATGTCCCGATTTTGCTCATCTCGCAGCCGTCCGCGCTGAGAAGCTGGCTGTCCGCGCGTCCTCGTCTGAGGAGCTCGGTGGAACCCAGAAGCAGATTCTCGAGGCGTTCTCGGGGGTGAAGGCCAAGGTACATGGGACTCCTTGCGTAATGAACTTGCATTCGTCGAGATTGCATTCGTCGAGATTACAATCGTCGAAATTTCGATTCAAGCGACATTGCATAATGATTGTAACTCTTCCGTGCAGTGGGACACCGTGGAGAACAAGCCCACCGTGCTGCTCTACACGGGCGGCGCCGTGCTCGCCTTGTGGATCACCAGCGCTGTCATGGGAGCCATCGACTCGCTGCCTCTGGTAGGCTCTCGCTCGTGTGGCTTCCCTTTCACGCGCGTTCCCTGATCGCTCTTACATTGAGTCCTTAAATTTCGCCTTTTTTTTGCCAGGTCCCGGATTTTCTGAAGCTGGTCGGCACTGTCTATGGTGGCTGGTTCGTCTACCGCTACCTTCTCTTCGAGGTGAGCTTCCCAACAAATAAAATTGAACATTCAGCTTTTTGCAATAACTAGCTCTGCTGGTGAGATCTGTATGCTCTCAAATGTCTCCGCTTCATTCGTCTCTGTCGTGGTATTGCAGGCGAGCCGGAAGGAGCTGGCTACTCTCATTAACGACCTCAAGAACCAAATTGCTGATACGAAATAGACATACAAACATATACGTTGAAGATGTATATTACCTCTTCCATTCTTTAAGGATACCCAGTGCTTCTAACCAAATAAAGGCTTGGCTTCCGGATTCCTTGGAGTACAAAGCACAGCCCTACAAATCCACTGGGGGTTTCATTAGGAATTACCATTCACATACCTACCATTCATCAGGCCACTAGAACCTCCTCTTGTTGGTACCATGGTTCAACAATGATGCAGAAATGGAACAGGCTGTGGAGTGGAGTGGAGGTACCGTATGGATTTTTGCAGGGTCTTCCCTTCCCTGGGTTCATAAACAGGATCAGGCCCCAAGAAGTCATATTTCAGCCTCTTTTTTTAGTGGATTCTGAAATTTCAGCCTTTTTTTTTGTATGAACTATGAAGAATCAGATTTGTTTTTAACGCCTTCTCTGATATTTCAGTTTTTTTCGAGAGTGTACTCCGTTAGGGCCCACCATTAGTTTCGTACTGCCCGTTTTTCCTGCCCTGCCCTGCCCGATCGTAACTGCCCTGCCCTCACAGCGTCCCGCATGCTGCCCTGCCCGCGCTACCCCGCGAGCTCTACCATACCCTGCGCGTGAACCGCTTGCTGCCCAGCGCGCAACCCGCTTGCTGCCTCGCACGTGCCCTGCTCGCGCCGCCTGCACGCGCGCTGCCTGAGCCCTGCGCGCTCACTGCCTGCGCTGCCCGCGCGCTGCCTGCACCGCCTGCGCGCTGCCTTTGATGCCCGCGCACTGCTTGCCCTGCCCGTGCGCCGCCCGCGCTCTGCCTGCACAGCCCGCGCTCTGCCTGCACAGCCCGCGCACTGCCCTGCGCCGCCTGCACGCGCCCTGCCCACGCTGCAGCTGCTGCTAAGCTGCTACTGCCGCCCGCGCCGAGCCGCCCTGCCCTGCCCGAGCCGCGCCGCCCTGCCCGAGCCGCGCCACCCTGCCGAACCGCCCAACTGAGCCGCCCTGCCTAGCTGCCCAGCCGAGCTGCTTTTGCTGCCGCACCTGTTCCTGCTGCTGCTGCTACTGCTGCTACTGTTGTTGTTGTTGCTGCTGCTGCTGCTACTGCTGCTGCTGCTGCTGCTGCTGCTACTGGTGCTGCTGCTACCGACGCTGCTGCTGCTGCTACTACTGCTACTGCCTACTATGGTTATCATTACTGTCCTTACCTTTGACGCAGAGGGTCGCCCGGTTAAGTTTGTGTTGAATTATATTGCATATCCTAACTGCCTACAGCTTGCTAGTGTATTAGTTAGTTATTAGGTTCAACTGCTGGTGGTGTACCCTATCCTCTCCCCTATCCTATATCTTGTAAACATTCCTTAGTGAATCCCCTCTTTGCCCAATTCTCTTGCCATGCTCACTCTCGACACTCACGCTTTCTAGGTAAACCCTAAGTTACTAAGTCAAGAGTTAAGAGCGTATTCTGACAGTTTGATTGCTGGCTAGGGACGACGTCTCACTGTTAGAGCATACGTCCGGTTCCCTTACCGCCCCTGATGAGTCAGCTGACTGTGTAGTTCGTTCGCAGTGGCTCACGCGCGATGCTGCCGCCGACCTTGCTGTCCGCAACGCCCTCCCGTTAGATGAGAGGGTCAATTTTGGCCAGCTTAAGACGGCCAATGAGCTCTATGACGCCGTAGTCGCTCGCTACTCCTCCCCCTCTACTACTGCCCTCGGCCGTCTCATGCTGCCGTATCTCTTTCCTGAGCTGTCGGACTTCCACACCGTCGCTGATGTCATGAACCACCTTCGCTCTAGTGACGCCGCTCTCAAGCCTGCCTTTCTGACTGCGTACCCGCCCCCGATGTACATCACTCTTTACTTCCTCGTCACTCGCCTCCCTGACTCCCTCCGCGCCGTTAGGGATCACTTCCTCGCCCTTGAGCCCACCGAGCTCACGCTTGCCTCGCTAGAGAAGCATCTCCGCGAGGCTGAGACCAGTACTGTCGCTGTAGCTGCCTCTCGGGGCACTCCTCGCCCCCCTTTCTTTGAGGGGTGTCCTCCCTCCCTTCTTCCGCCATCTGTTGCCTCTTCTGCTGCTGTTGACTTCCTTCGTGCTGAGGAGGTCGGTGCTGCGTCTGCTCCTAGTGGGAGGCGCCACAGCGGCAAGGGCAAGGGGGGTAAGGGTGGTGGGGGTGGAGCTGGTGGGGGTGGTGGCGGTGGTGGTGGCGGGGGTGGAGGCGGTGGTGGTGGCGGCAGTGGAGGTGGCGGGGGTGGTGGAGGCGGTGGGGTGGGCGGAGGGGGCTCGGGTGGCGGTCGGGGTGGAGCTGGCAGGGGTGGAGGCTATGGGGCGGCGACTGGGGGTGCAGCTCGTGGCAGCGGAGGCTCTGGGGGTGGACAGCAGCAGCAGCCACGCCAGCAGGAGACACTCACGCCTCAGTAGCTTCGTGAGTGGGTTGTCCAGCTTGGATTCTGTGGGGGTAGTGTTCGTTGCCCGTACGTCAGGCGCACGGGTCTCCGGTGACCCCTGCGGGAAGACTGGGCAAACTGAGTATCGCTGCTTCTTCCGTCTCGAAGATGCCTGGCGCACCGAGTATGGTGATGATATGGAGATCCCCAACTGGTTAGGATTGCTAGCGAAGGGGGTGGATGTGTTTGCTCTTGACTTTGACTATGCTATGTATGCTGGTTCTGCTAGTGTTGAGGGTGACTATTACTCGTGTGTGCCTCGCGCTGCTGGTGTAAAGGCTGCTGCTCTAGGTGCTTGTGAGTCTGCTGCCACAGGTGCTGCTCCTACTGAGGCCTTGCACACCTTCACACTTGACTCAGGCGCATCTCGCTGCTTCTTCCGCGATTGCACCACAGTCACACCGCTCACAGCACATGTCCCAGTCGCTCTGGCTGACCCCTCTGGGGACCCAGTCGTTGCCCGTGCCTGCACAATTCCCCCGTGTCCGGCAGCCCCTTCCGACTCGCTTGCCGGTCTCCACCCCCCCTCGTTCAGTACGAACTTGGTGAGTAACGCTGTCCTCTAGGACTAGTTGGTCACCACCACTACTCCTGGGGGTGAGCGTGTGGCGATCTGCACGGACTCACGCATTGGCGAGCACCTCGCCACGTTCATACGGAGACCTGGGTCAATCCTGTACACACTAACCACTGAGCCTACACAGGTGGCTGCGTCAGGTCAGGTGGCTGCGTCGGGTCAGTTAGCTGCGTCTTGTTCGTGTCGCCTTCTCACGCACGCGTCTCTCCTCTGGCACCACCGTCTTGGCCACCCCTCCCTACCGCGCCTGCGTGGCATGCAAAACCCTAATTCCTTGTCTCTGGCCTCCCCAGGTCCCTGCCCCCGCTCTCGCGCTCGCTTGCACCGCCGTGCCTTCCCTGCGTCGAGGGGCGGCAGCGCGCCGCTCCTCACTCCTCGTTTCCTCCGACCACTGCTCCTCTGCAGACTCTCCACATGGACGTGTGGGGCCCCGCCCACGTCCGTAGACAGGACCACGAGCGCTACTTTCTGCTGGTTGTTGACGACTACACGCGCTACACCACGGCCTTCCCCTTGCAGAGCAAGGCAGATGTCCGCGGTGTTTTGATCCCCTGGATCCGCACTGTTCGTCACCAAATGAGCGCACGGTTTCAGCAGGACCTTCAGGTCCTGGGACTGCACTCTGACAAAAGCGGTGAGTTTTCCTCCCGCCTCCTTGAGGACTTTTGTCAAGAGGAGGGCATCGCCCAGTCGTTCACGCTTCCGGAATCTCCACACCAGAATGGGATTGCTGAGCGTCGTATTGGCTTGATCATAGAGGTTGCTCGCACCTCCATGATCCATGCGGCTGCTCCCCATTTTGTGGCCGTTTGCGGTCCGATATGCTGCGCATCAGCTCAACCTATGGCCCCATGTTTCTGTGCCAGAGACCTCGCCTACACTGCGTTGGATGGGGGAGGTTGGCGATGCGTCGCCGTTTTGGGTCTGGGGCTCGCTTGCCCTTGTCCGCGATCTTACCGTGGGCAAGCTCTCTCCTCGCACTCTCCGCTGCGTCTTCCTTGGCTTCCCACCCGACGCCCCGCCCTAGCAGTTTTACCACCCTGCCTCGCGTGGCGTCCTGTCCTCCCAGAACGTCACCTTAGACGAGTCGGTGTGCTTCTACCGTCTCCACCCCCACGCGTCTTCTCCAGTCTCCCCGCCGCCCCTCTTCCTGCTGGGGGCAGCCAATGCTGTTGCTGGTTCTGCTGGGGGCAGCCTATGCTGCTGCTGGTTCTGCTGGGGGGGGGGGGAGAGTCTATGCTGCTGCTGGTTCTGCTGGGGGCAGCCTATGCTGCTGCTGGTTCTGGCGGCAGCCTAAGCCGCTGCTGGTGCTGGGGGCAGCCTAAGCTGCTGCTGGTTCTGGCGGTGGGGAACGGTTCTGGGAGGTTCTGGGCGGTTCTGGGTGGTTCTGGGCGGTTCTGGACGGTCCTGGGCGGTTCTGGGCGGTCCTGGACGGTCGTGGGCGGTTCTGGACGGTTGTGGACGGTCCTGGGCGGTCCTGGGCGGTTTTGGGCGGTTCTGGGCGGTCCAGGACTGTCCTGGGTGGTTCTGGACGGTTCTGGACGGTCCTGGGCGGTTCTGGACGGTCCTGGGCGGTTTTGGGCGTTCCTGGGCGGTTCAGGAGGGCTGGTGGCAGGCGAAGTTGGCGAACTGCAGGGCGTACTGGGAGGGGACGCGACGGGGCTGGCGGACGGGGCTGGCGGACGGGGCTGGCGACGAGGCTGGCGGGCGGGGCTGGCGATGGGGCTGGCGAACGGGGACGCGACGGGGCTGGCGTACGGGGGCGCGACGGGGCTGGCGTACGGAGCTGGCGGATTGCAGGGCGGCGGGGAGGGGACGCGGCGGGCAGGGGAAGGGGAGGCGACGGGGAGGGGACGCGACGGGGAGGCGACGGAGGGGGGACGCGACGGGGAGGCGACGGGGAGGCGACGGAGGGGGGACACGACGAGGAGGCGACGGGGAAGGGACGCGACGGGGAGGCGACGGGGAAGGGACGCGACGGGGAGGGCTGCGGGGCGACGGGCTACGAGGGGGGTGGGGGGGGGAAGCGCCTTTTAACGCGCGATTCGGGGGCCCGCGGGGGCCTTCCTAGGTCGCGACGTGGGGGGAAACCCGCGGGGGTCCTTCTAGCTCGCGATTCGGGGGCCCGCGGGGGCCTTCCTAGGTCGCGACGTGGGGGGGACCAGCGGGGGTCCTTCTATATCGCGATTCGGGGGGCCCGCGGGGGACTTCCTAGGTCGCGACATGGGGGACCCGCGGGGGTCCTTCTAACACGCGATTCGGGCCTTCTAGCTCGCGATTCGGGGGGAACCGCGGGGGCCTTCCTAGGACGTGACGTGGGGGACCCGTGGGGGTCTCTCTCTAGCGCACGATTCGACGGGGGGGGGGGGGGGGGAGGGGGGCTGGCGCTAAGGGGTGACGGGGCACTACGGGTAACGCGTTACTAACGGGCGAGCGCGGGGCGGTGGGCCCATGGGAATCGAACTGCTCTATACCATGTCAACGAGGTAACGGAATAACGATTGACTAGAAATGACAAAGACAAGGAAGATATAGCAAACCCTGGTCAACCCTAGCCAACCCTAAACATAAGTGTACACCACCTAGACTAGCAAATACAAACCATAACAATTATAGTTTGTCACTCTCCTCACAAGTTCCTGCTCCCTCAGGTGTGTCTCGGGTCGACCCACCCCCCTTCGTTGAGCCTTTGGAGGTCTCCTCTGACACCTCTGGCCCAGCTGAGGGGGGTGACCCCGCTGCCGATGACACAGCGGCCACTTGCCGCTCCCCACGCTTGGAGACCCCTCCTGGTTTTCCGCCTCGGCCGTCTTCGCCGCCTCCGCAGCCTGTCGCTGTGACACCACCCTCCCCTCTGCCTGCCTGCCCACCTGCAGCAGCAGCCTTCCCTGCTGCACCACCCCCCCCTGCACCAGCAGCACCCGCTCTCGCCTTGTCAAAGCGCCTGACAGTGCCCATGCTGCAGATGGGGCAGCCAGGGGTGGCGAGGGCAGCGAAGCACGCATTGCAGGTGTCGCTCACGTCGTGGCCAATGGTGGGCAGCAGTGCCAGCCATGCTGCACAGAAGCGAGACGGGTCCTCGGAACGGTTGATGGTGGCAAGGGCGCGGAGCTCGGCCTGCTTGATGGGGGGCGCCTTGGCGAGGAGGGCGTGGAGGAGGCGGTTGGAGTAGGCGAAGTTGTGCACCTCCATGTTGCACCGGATGGCCGTGCGCGCATAGCTGATGCGGTGCTTCGGCTGCAAGGGCAGCGACGCCACGTGCCGTGCCAGCCGCGCCATCTCCTACTTGGCTCCCAGCGCACCCTGCCCCTCCGCCTTCTGCAGCCGCACTATCTCCTGCAGGATGGTAGCGCCGATCTTGTAGTGGGCGGCGATGCGCGCCTGGGCTTGCACGTTCTTGCCCAGGGAGCGGTCCTTGGCCATGGCCGAGAACGCCTCGTCCACACACGCCAACGCGTGGGTGAGGACTCTGGAGGTGCTGGTCCTGGGGGTGCTGACTCTGGGGGTGCTGAGTCTGGGGGTGCTGGTTTTGGGGGTGCTGGTTCTGGGGGTGCTGACTCTGGGGGTGCTGCGAGTCCTAGTGGTGGTGGAGCCGCGGGTGCTCCTGCTGGAGGTTCTGGCGTTGGACAGGAGCAGCAGTCTCGTCGACAGGAAACTCTCTCGCCGCAGCAGCTTCGCGAGTGGGTTATTCGGCGAGGCCGCTCTGGTGCTGGAGCTTGGGGTATTGGTGCTGGAGGTGCTGGTGCTGGAGGTGCTGGAGGTGCTGGTGCTGGAGGTGCTGGAGCTGCTGGTGCCAGAGGTGCTGGTGCTGGAGGTACTGGAGCTGGAGGTACTGGAGCTACTGGTGCTGGAGGTGCTGGAGCTGGAGGCACTGGAGGTGCTCTAGCTGGAGGTACTGGAAGTACTGGAGCTACTGGTGCTGGAGGTGCTGCAGCTGGAGGTACTAGAGCTGGAGGTGCTGGAGGTACTGGAGCTGGAGGTACTGGAGGTACTGGAGCTGGAGGTACAGGAGGTACTGGAGGTGGAGGTGCTGGAGGTACAGGAGCTGCTGGTGCTGGAGGTACAAGAGCTGGAGGCTCCGGTACAGTGGGTAATGCGCAGCGGCGACCGTTTTTCTTCCCGCAGCCGCAGTCGTCACTGCCACCACCTGACTCGGCACTTTCGCCAGGTTCTTAGTCTTCCGTCTTCCACTGGCCTTACTCCACCTCTCCTGTGTCCTCTGCCTGACCAGTCACAGCCGCCGTTATTGTTTGGCTCCCCACTGCCTACTCCTTCTCCTTAACTTGCGCAGACAGACTCCCTGACAAAGCGTCATGAACCTGTGTCTCGTCTTGCCTCCCCTGTTCGCACTGCCAGTCGTGCTCGGCGTCCTCGTCCTCCACCTGTCCCCGGCACACACACTATGGCGCTTCGTCCTTAATCTGTTCGACAGCGTGTTGCTCTGCCGTCTCCTCCGGCGTCCTCTCTTCCTGACGTTTCTGACCCTGATTCCGACCTTGCTCGTCCCGCTAGTCCTACTATCACTCGTTTCCTGGCCGCTCTTGTCACTGACCCTTCATTTGAGTCTACTATCGTGTCTGCCTTAGTCAATGAGCTCGTAGACTTTGCTGCTACCTGTCGTCTCGCCTTGGAGTAGGGGTATATGCCCGGACGTCTCCAGGGCCTACAGCTCCAGGTCCTTCAGCGGAAGGCCCCCCAGCTATAGCAGCGCCGCGCTGAAGACTACAACGCCGAGCAAACCACTCGCGCAGCTGCGCTGGAGAGAGAGGCTCCCACCGGGACGAGGCACCCAGAGAACCTCCAGCACCTCCAGCACCTCCAGGACCAGCAGCTCCAGCACCTCCAGTACCTCCAGCTCCAGCGCCTCCAGCTCCAGGGACTCCAGCGGCAGGCCCCCCAGCTCTAGCAGCGTCACTCCGAAGGCTCCAGCGCCGAGCAAACCACTCGCGCAGCTGCGGTGGAGAGAGAGTCTCTCGCCGTGACAAGGCACCCAGAGAACCTCCAGTAGAAAAAGTACCTCCAGGCGCAGCACGCTCAGGCTTAGCACCCCCAAGCTCAGCACCCCCAGGCTCCGCATGCTCAGGCTCAGCACCCCCAAGCTCAGCACCCCCAGGCTCCGCACGCTCAGGCTCAGCACCCCCAGGCTCCGCACCCTCAGACTCAGCAACCCCAGGCTCAGCACCCCCGGGCTCCGCACACTCAGGCTCAGCACCCCCCGGCTCCACACGCTCAGGCTCAGCACCCCCAGACGCAGCACCCCTAGCAACACCACCCCCAGCAGCACCAGAGTCGACAGCTACCTCGACAGGCTCAACAGGGTCTACATGAGACACACCTGAGGGAGCAGGACCCTGAGGGGGGAGGGGGTCTACCGGAGGAGGACCAGGTGCGAGGAAGAGCGGAGGGGGGGGGGGAGTGGGGCAGTGCGGTAGGGGAAGAGACGGTAAAAGGGAACCGACTCGTTAAACATGACGTCCTGAGAGGGCAGGACACGGCGCGAGGTGGGGTGGTAAAACTGCCAGCCAGGCGCGTCAGGGAGAAAGCCAAGGAAGACGCAGGGAATGGCGTGGGAGGAGAGCTTGTCCGCGGACGTATCGCGGACAAAGGCACGAGAGCCCCAGACCCGAAACACCGACGCATCGCCAACCTTCCCCGTCCAACGCAGTGTAGGCGAGGTCTCCGGCAAGGAGACACGGGGCCAGAGGTTGAGCTGATGCGCAGCGTACCGGACCGAAAACGGCCAAGAAAGTGGGGGCCAGCCGCATGGATCATGGAGGTACGAGCGACCTCCATGACTAAGCCAATGCGGCGCTCAACAACCCCATTCTGCTGCGGAGAGGCCGGAAGCGCGAACGACTGGAGAATGCCCTCCCCACGATAAAAGTCCCGCAAGAGGTCGGAGGAAAACTCACCACCTCTGTCAGAGTGCAGATCCAGGACCGGAAGGTCCGTGTCGAACCGCTCGCGGAGCTGGAGACGGACTGCGCGGATCCAGGGGATCAAAACATCAGGAACCTCACCCTTGCTGCGCAAGGGGAAGACCGTGGTGTAACGCGAGTAGTCGTCAACAACCAGCAGAAAGTAGCGCTCGCGGCCCTGTCCACGGACGCGGGCTGGGCCCCACACGTCCATGTGGAGAGTCTGCAGGGGAGCAGTTATCGGGGGAAACGAGGAGTGAGGAGCGGCGCGCTGCCGCCCCTCGACATAGGGAAGACAGGGAGGGGCAGGCGAGGGTGGGAGGGGAGGCAGAGACCTGGGAAGACCAGAGACAAGGAGACGGGAGTGCATGCCACGGAGGCGTGGCACGGAGGGGTGACCAAGGCGGTGGTGCCAAAGGAGCGTCCGGTGCGACAGGGCGCGACACGAGCAGGGGGCCGCTAGCTGACCTGGCGCAGACACAGACGCAGCTACCTGGGGAGGCTCTGTAGTCAGTGTGTACATACTCGACCCAGGCCGACGGGTGAACGTGGCCAGGTGACGGCTAGTCCGGGAGCACGTACAGATCGCCACACGCTGTCCGCCAGGGGTGAGGGTATCAACGCATTCATCCTGAAGGACGGCGTTGCTCACCAAGTTCGTAGAGAACGAGGGGAGGTGAAGACCTGACAGTGAGCCCGTCGGAACCGCCGGACACGGGAGAACTGTGGAGGAACGTGCAAGAACTGGGCCTCCAGAGGGGTCAGCCAGAGAGACTGCAACAGGTGCAGGGAGTGGTGTGACTGTGGTACTGTCGCGAAAGAAACAGCGGGAAGCACCTGAGTCAAGCGTGAAGGTGTGCAAGGCCGCAGCAGGTGCAGTACCAGAGAGAGCAGACTCACTAGCACCTAGAGCAGCAGACTCACTGGCACCTAGAGCAGCAGCCTCTATACCTGGGTCGGGCGGCACACACAGGTAACAGTCACCCTCAGCACTAACAGTCAATGCATACATGGCAGTGAGGATAGCATCATAGTCAAGAGCAAAGATATATACCCTCTGCCTAAGCAGATCCAGCCAGCGGGGGAGCTCAGCCGCGTCGCCAAACTCTGCACACCAGGTGTTGCTCAGACAGGCGAAGCAGCGTGACTGTGTGTCACCAAGTGTCCCGCAAGTCTGACCAGCCCGATCACCTGTGCGAATGACGTACGGGCAGCGAGCAGTACTCCGAGACGCCCCACGCTGAGCGAACCACTCACGAAGCTGCTGGGGCGTAAGGGTCTCGTGCGGACGCCGCTGCAGCTGCATCTGGCCACTGCCAGAAGCTCCCCACTGAACAGCTCCACGGCGACTGCCACTACGGCCGCCGCCACTACTCCAACTAGCGAACCACTCACGAAGCTGCTGGGGCGTAAGGGTCTCGGGCGGACGCCGCTGGAGCTGCATCTGGCCACCGCCAGAAACTCCCCACCGAACAGCTCCCCAGCGACTGCAACTACGGTCGCCACCACTCCCATTGCTGTCACCACCGCCGCCACCACTCCCACCGCTACTACGAAGAGAAGTCATATCGGGAAAGCAAGGAGGCGCGCGACCAGTAGGGCAGCACGGAGGGAAGGCAGGGCGGCGAGCAGGCACTAGGGTAGGTCGGGGCGGCGCACGGTCAGGGAAGAGCGGCACGCGGCCAGAGTAGGGCGGCGCGCTGCAGCAGGGCGGCGCGCGGGTTGCAGAGGGCGGCGCGCGGGCACGCAGGGGCGGCACCTAGGTTTTTTTTTGTTTTTTTTTTTTTTTTTGTGTTTTTGTTTTTGTTTTGTTTTGTTTTGTTTTGTTTTGTTTTTTTTTTTTTGGTTTAGCAGGGCGCGCTAGGCGCTGGGCAGCAGGGCGCGCTGGCGCGCTGGGGAGCGGGGCGTGCTGGCGCGCTGGGCAGCGGGGCGCGCTGGCGCGCTGGGCAGCGGGGCGCGCTGGCGCGCTAGGCAGCGGGGCGCGCTGGCGCGCTGGGCAGCGGGGCGCGCTGGCGCGTCTGGCAGCAGGGCGCGCTAGCGCGGTGGGCAGCAGGGTGCGCTGGCGCTCTGGGCAGCGGGGCGCGCTGGCGCACTGGGCAGCAGGGCGCGCTGGCGCGCTGGGCAGCGGGGCGCGCTCGGCTGCAGGGGCGACACGCGGGCTGCAGGGGCGACGCGCGAGCTGCAGGGGCGGCGCGCGGGCTGCAGGGGCGGCACGCGGGCTGCAGAGGGCGACGCGCGGGCTGTAGGGGCGGCGCGCAGGCTGCAGGGGCGGCGCGACGGGGGGCAGGGCAGGGCGTGCGCGGAGCAGCGCGACGCGGGGCAGGGCGGGGCGTGCGCGGGGCAGCGCGACGCGGAGCAGGGCAGGGCGTGCGCGGGGCAGCGCGACGCGGGGCAGGGCAGGGCGTGCGCGGGGCAGCGCGACGCGGGGCAGGGCGTGCACGGGCAATGTGACGCAAGGCAGGGCAGGGCAGGGCGTGCGCTGACGGCGCAGTGCAGGGCAGGGCG